ATATTAATTTCATAATTAGTGTTGTATTTTTATAATATATATATATTTTTTAACGGTTTACCATTTGAAAGTAGGAAGATTCAAATCCTAACCTTAAAATTAAGAGATGCAACTAATAATAAACATAAAATTATTGGATCACAAGAGTCAAGTACACATTTTTGTAGTATTATTTAACAAAGTTAATAACGAAAACAATTATCACTTGCTCTTTTGTCTTATAAGGAATGCTTTAATTGTTAAAAAATTAAAATTTTATATTAATGAATTTAAATTTAAATTTTATAATAAATGAAAAAATTTTTTTAAAAATAATTATTTTTTATTATATAACTTATCATTTAATATAAAAAATATTATTTTTCTTTCTTAACTAAAGTTAAAAGAAATACCAAAATATGAAAAAGTTAATACAATTTTAAAGAAGGTTGAAACAAAGAGTTAATTTGAAATAGTTTTCTTTTCTTCTTTTGACCAGCTAATTTGAAACTGAAATAGCATAGCTTATAATTATGAATTGTTACATCATTATAATTTATTTGTTTAATATCCCGTTATCATTACAAAATTATAATTTTATATTTCAACTCAAATTAAGTACTAAAAATGGAATATTAAAAGTTAAAAAAAAAAAGAGTATTAAAATATTAAATTCGGGGAGGGAGAGAATAGTATTAAAGTCCCAAATTAGCCCTTCTCTCCCAATCTAATTTCCCGCCTATCCGTCTTTCATTTCCCGCTCTGCTAAACCCTAACCCTCCCGGAATGAAGCAGAAGCAACTGTCCACTGCCGATCCAAGCGCCCACGCCGATCCCAAGAAGCGAAGACGCGTCGGATTCGCCACCATCGGTGAGTCAATTCAGCTTCTCTTTCCGTCAGTATTTTGTGTTTCCATCTTCTCCTGAAATCCTTTTCCATTTCCGCCTTCACTCTTGCTCTACTTAGCATTTTAGTTGTTTTTTTGAACAATGTTCGCGGATTCAGCTCACTTACCTGACTTTTACATTTTTTTTTTGTTTTTTGTTATTGATTGTTGAGCAGATGCCGGAGTTGAAGCCAATGATTGCTTCAAGATTTACTTGGGTGAGTTTGATGCTTTTGGATTGCTGAGATTTTAGTTTTAATTGTTTTAGCTTTGTGGTGCGGAGAGGATTTGCTTCCACTGGTTTCTGAAGATTTGAAAGGAAAAAGGAAAAAAGATAATCAAAAGAAGAAACGGATTGTGCGCTCGTTGATTGTCACTAGTTATCAACCTATAATTTGGGAGTAAGAATGTACAGTAGTTTAGGTATGAGCAGATGACTGTTTAAGTTTGTCACTGGTGTTTGGTTTGGTTCTTATATTGCAACTTTGCATTAGTATTCTCTTTTGTTTTTCCATTCGAAGTTCTTACATTTCAATCTCTGGTACTTAGACCCACTTTGTTCCTTAAATCTTATGGTTACTTTGTGTGCTTATTATTTGCCATGATTATTTACTGTATTGCTGGTGTCATAGTTTCTAGCAAAGAAGAAGTGGGAACTTCAAATGGTTACTGTATTAGTCCGGTTGACTTGAACAACTTTTTTGATGAAGATGGGAAAATATATGGTTACCAAGGGCTGAAGGTATGTTCAAGTCTCCTAGTGTATCCTCTTTGTGTGCTGTAAATGACAAAATTTACAATTATACTGTCTGTCATTCATCTTCGTGTGATACTTAGTATTTAAAGCATCTTCTGTTGTTTTATGCAGATAACAGTCTGGATTAGCATTATGTCTTTTCATGCATATGCTGATATTACATTTGAGGGAAACTCTGATGTAAGTAGAAAAACACAAGTCATGAACTACTTATTATGTTTGATATGTTTTGCCTCATATGAAACTTGCTCTCAGGGTGGCAAAGGGATTACAGATTTGAAACCTGCTCTTCAGGTATGCATATGTTGCCAGGGGATATTGTTGCCTTTTTCATTTATATCCGAAGAGTTTCTAATCATTTATTCATTTGCCAGAGTATTTTTGGTGAAACTCTTGTTGAGACTAAAGATGACCTCCTTCAAACTTTTTCAACAGAGAGTCATTTCATTAGGTATGATGCTTTGGATGTCTTGGTCTCCCATAAAGATTCCACTGTTGTTTCCTTTTTCTTTTCTAACATGCATGAGATGTTGTGAACTCATCTTTGATGCCCTGGAATTTACTCCCATCTTGTCCTTTCAGTTCAGTTGTCTCGAATGGGGAGAATTTGCACTACAACGCCTTCAATGGAGACATCAATTGTAATAGTAGTCTAGAAGCAACTGCTTCTAATGTGGAGGTAACAACATCTTTAATGCTCTGGAACTGGTTTTTTTTTTTTTGGCCAAATAATGCTCTCAAACTCTCATCAATTTGGTACTCGGTTAATTTGGCTGGAATATATATATTTTTTTCATGCCAGACTTTTCTGGTTTGTGCCATTGGTTTTGACTTGCATTGTCTTCTAGTGAAGGACTTCAGTGGCTTGACTCCATTATTTTAGGTTTCCTATTAGGCACTTGGCTGAATAGCATAGAATGCAGAGCTGCTTTCCTACTTTCATCTTTCAGTTGTTTTTAGCTTGTTTCCACTTTCAGTTACATAGATCTGGTTCTCGAATATTTGAGGTTCTGTTGCCATTTCATTCCAACAGTTAGTGTGGCAAATTAAAAGTCTGATTGCACTATTTCCTTCTTTCCAGTTTCTTGCCCTTTTGTATCTATATGGACTTTTCTGAGAGTTTCCAGAAAAATATGACTTAATTCTGTGCTGCATTGATTTGAGTGTGGATAGTGTTTGCTCCATAATATAAGGTGCATGAGACTGTCATGTGTGATGTCCTTTGAAATTGACTTGCTGGTTTATGCATTCCTTTTGCTTCAGGTTGTTCGGGTTGTGGTAGGCAATTTAGCTGCTGGACATCTTTACAGTCGCTTGGTACCTCTGGTTCTTCTTCTGGTTGATGGTTGGTAATTATATGCTTGTTCTGGTCTTAATGGCAATGTGGTATTGCATTCTTATTTACAGTTTAGTGGTCTTATTTTCTTGATTAGGGAGCAACCCTATTGATGTTACCGATCCAAGTTGGGAGTTGTATCTCTTGATACAGAAGAATGTAGATTCACAGAACACTCAAAATTTACTGCTTGGTTTTACAGCTGTATATCGCTTTTACCATTACCCCGATAGTTCACGCCTCCGACTCAGTCAGGTTCAATCTTTTTTGCCATTATTCTTTTCTTTGGCCTGAGTTATTGTTCTTATTGGTTTCATAAATGTTGGATTTTTTAGTTTCATGACATTGTTTATTTGATGGCAGATTTTGGTGTTGCCCCCTTACCAGCACAAGGGGTACGGCAGTTACCTTGTGGAGTTTCTCAGTAATGTTGCAATATCAGAAGATGTTTATGACTTGACAGTTGAAGAGCCTCTAGATTACTTCCAACATGTGCGAACCTGTGTTGACATGAAACATCTTCTTGCTTTTGATTCAGTCCAGGAAGCAGTTAAATCAGCTGTTTTGCAACTGGAGCGAGGAAAATTATCGAAGAAAAGCCATACGCCTCGCTTCATGCCACCTCCTGACATAGTTGATAGTGTCAGGAAATCCTTGAAAATCAACAAGAAACAGTTTCTCCAGTGCTGGGAGATTTTGATATATCTTGGCCTTGACCCTGTAGACAAGTACATGGAGGATTATTTGACAATTATTTCAAATCGGGTGAAGGCTGATATCCTAGGGAAAGACTCTGAGACTGCTGGAAAGCAAGTGGTTCAAGTCCCTAGTGTTCATGATGAAGAGGCGTCATTTGTCATGTTTAGGTCAGGGAATGCTGTAGTTACTGGTGTTCAGATGGACAAAGATCAAACAAAAACCCAAGAAGAGCAGGTCCAGCAGCTCGTGGATGATAGAATCAAAGAGATCAAGCTAATTGCAAAGAAAGTGTCCCAACAACATGCTTGAATTGTCGCTATTCATGCAAATCGCCAAAGGTGCACGCTTGAAGATACATAGTGAGATGGTACTTTCGTCTGTGTCTTGGGCGGGGCTTGTCTGTAGTGATCATACTTCATGTTGAGCATGTGAAACTGATCTTATAATTTAAAATCATGGCATCAGACTCAAAATTTCCTGTTTCTCTATCTTTTCATTATACTCAAAGTAACGTGGGTGTCAGTTCAGTTTGGTTATGGGAATTAAAATATTTCCAGTTTTAACCAACTTATAGTGGATGGGTAATAGCTGCCAACGTTAGAATTTTTAACAAGTATCAACCATCAAGTATTCGTCATCAGTTATAAACTATATAAAACTTTTAAACCAAAACATACTTTCAATAAATTTTGGTAAATGATTTTTTATTTTGGTTTAAAATTTTAGTTTGGTTAATTGAAAATTTTGCTCAACTTAGTTTGGTTAATTCAACAAACTGAATTTATGACCTAATAAAAATTTGAAGCAAAATTTAAGTTTTGACTTTTGACATAAATTACTTTAGTTTATTTGGCTAATTCAATTAATTAATTTATAAATCAAGAAAGCAATTTTTTAAATTAAAGCACATCAAACTACTAGTTATGTGAATTGTGAAGAACCAGAGATATAATTCCAGGGAAAGCGTAAACCTAAAGAAGATGAAACTTGGTATCAATTAATATACTTGGCAATCATGGTAGAACTTATTACCTTGTCAAACATTGTTCTTCGAATGATAACATGCAATTTATTTTTTTGTAGATATCACAATATATAACCTAAATAATAATTAATAATACATCCCTTTTCCCAATTTTCTTCCCATTTATCCCAACATTTAAATATAAAATCCTTAGATTCTCAATTCTCAAACCATTATCCATTGACACACACCATCAAGGCTTCCCAAATCAGTTTTGTGCACGTTGAGGTTAATTTCTTTCCAAGCAATCTTAAGAGCGCATCAATTCGGCTTGATGCATTTAAATAAATTAATTTTTTCAGTGTTAACCCTAAAATTTAAATTATAAACTTAACTTAAAATATAACATTTTTTTACCAATAGATACTAACTTTTGGGGTTATAAGTTATTAATTAATAAGTCATTGTTTTTTTTATATACCTACTAATGAGATAGCATTCCTTTTTAAATCCCTCTTCACTGGTTTTAAGAATTGAACTAATCCTTCACTTTGGAACTCAAAACTTTTTATTGTAGATACACTACTAGAGTTCGGCCTAGCCAAAAAAGCTCGTAACCGTTTGGAGGGCCGAAACCGACCTGAAGTTTGGATTTCGGGTCGGTTGATATGGGCTTTGGGCATAGAAAAACGATTTAATTTTAAGATTTAGGGACAAATCAATCGCATTTGAAAGACTGATTTGAACAACCGAGATTTGTTTCAATTTTAATATATGTTTTTTTATTTCCTCACCTTTCTATGCATGTGACACGCATATATAGAGGGTAGGTTGTCATGTTTGGCTTTTATAATTTTATTTTCAAATTTTAAATCATGTTGGATCCACTTTTAAATATAAAATATTTAAAATAAAATACATTAAATTAATTTAATTATTGTACTTGACCCTTCGAGTCAACTAGCATCTTATCAACTTGAAGTACATCTCTCTTTTCATGAACAAGTTTCAAACCCACCTTGATAATGTGTTCAAAAAAAAAAAAAAATTTAACCAATAAATCCGATCTAAGGGAGGAAATTTACACCATCAAATCTAAGTATCTAACCCATTTAAAAGTTTACTTTCTCACGTTTCAAGACCCACAACCGCATTCCAAAATCCATGTTGCTGTCTTTCTCACCGAAAAAAATATTGGCTTCTCTTTTCAAACATGTTCGGCCTCTTCTTTTCTTGTGATATACTGCTCCTTTGCTTCTTTTTTATTTTTTATTTTTACTGTTCTGACAGGGATGATGGCAACTGGTGTTGGCTGTGAAATGCACAAGAAGTTCCGTCTCCCTCTTTTTTGACTTTTCTTCCAATTCTTTTGTCTCTTTTATTTCAAATTATCTTGATTTCCTCATTTTCCTTTAATTTTTGGCTGCAACTCCAGATTTAACTTTGTGATTAGAGATGAAATTCTTATAATAGGACTGGAAAAGAACAGGAAAAGCAAAGAAAAGAAACACAAGGATGTTTATCCGCTATTAACCGAAACCAATACTGCTGAAACTGATAAAATCAGTCATCGAACCGAACAACTGATGTGAATTTTGGTCTGGTTTTTGGGGTATAAATAAAAAAAATTCAACCCATAACAACTGGCATTTTGGTTTAAATTCTAACTGAACCGAACCGAAGCCAACCCAACAGCAATCTGAAACCACGTACGTGAAAACCTGCTGCATGTGAGTGAAAAGCACCTAACATTGTGAGCCACTTCAGCGAAGGTCACTTTGCAAAGGCATCATTTTAGTAATTGAAACAACGAACGTGGCCTGAGTCACGTCCGTCAACTTCCATTTTAGTAAATCACCAATGTGGGTAGTAATGCTAAAAAAGTAATGTAAGTATAAAATAATGTAAAAAGTATTAGTTTAAGAAAGAGAAATAAGAAAAGATGCTAATTATAAAAAAATTATACTTTAGAGACTTGCTTGGTTGGCCACATCCTTAGGTAAGAATCTAGAAAAGCCGATTAAATATTACTTTAGTTCGGCCTAGTAAAGTAATTTTCTTGATACGAAAATTGAGATTCAATATAATTGATTATTTGATTATAATAGAAATATAATTGATTGCATTGCAACATTCCCATGAAACTTTTCTTTCGATATATTTTGTTAGGAGAGTGAGGTAATCAATTATAAAGGGAAAATAATTAATTATATCATCATAATCACTTCGCAAACTCTCTCTAATAAATTACATGTCAATATAATTGATTATATGATTTTCATGTTAGAAAAATTACTTTCTTAAGTCAAACTAACATCATTTTTCGTCAACTCTCTCAAATTATGAATCTAAGAAAGTTACCAACCAAATAGGCCCTAAGATATATTTAAGTTAATTATTATTATAAAAATTTATAATAGTAAAACTCAAAAGGATAGAGACGAAATATGCAAAATATAGCTTAAAGTCTAGTTATATTTAAAATCATTGTAAGTAGAGCATTGTCAATTTTTATAATCCAAAAGACACCCCAATAAACATTGTTGAGGTATGAATCTATATGGTTGCAAAACCAATGACGTGTTCGGATCTACATTAGCAAAGTCCACAATGCCTATTTTCCATATTGAACGTGCAATTGTTATTTTCTACTAATTACTGCAATGAAATCAGTATCGCTAAAAACATCACAGAATGCAGCTTACTCCAGCATCTATTTCCACATACATGGTCAGATATGGTTAGATCTATTTAGGCGACATGGCTAGGCATTTCATGATGGTCATGTCCTTTGCAACGATATTCACTGTTGTATTTTGTGGCTCCCAACAATGGATAAAAAGCCTATTTTGCTACATGGCTCTTGTCAAACAACAACTAGTTGATTCGTATAGCTCCCAACGATGGACAACAAGCCAAGCATCTATTTTTATGTATCTCTATTACTAATTCCCATCAATGGACAATGGTTTGATCCTATTATATCTACACAGCCCCTAACAATGAACAAGGGGCCAAATTTGTTGTCTTATCTAGCCTCCAGCAATGGGCCAAAGGCTACACATTTTCATATATTTCATTACATCGGCTCCCGATAACGGATAAATGGTCGGATTTCTACATATTTTTATCTTATTGGCTCTCGAAAATGGACAAAAAGTCAGCGTAACTCGATACAATTAGTGTGAGGCCAGTTGCAACCTTGCGATTGGACAGGATGGCTATCCTCCAGCTATAAAAATGCATCACGTAAAGGCCGGTGGTCCCTTGGTGGTTGCTTGTGCATGGTGGTGCGGTGCTCAATGGGCAACAACAACCAAGACCACCCCCTGATGGTGTAGGTACGGCATGAAGAGCCAACGTTTGTCAATGGTATCATACCTTGTCGTATCAGAGGCCGTTGATGTGGCTGTCGTCCCTTTTCCATGGAGACAACTCCACATCTCTCTATACACATTCATCGCTATGGCGGAGTCTGATTTAACGAGATTTACCCCTTCGTGACTTAGTGGATTAGAGGGAGTGCTCTTTTAATTCCACATAGTTCGTGCTCCAACAATGGACAAAACTAGCCATTGTTGTCCCTCTGGCTATGGAGAAGTTAGTCATGGCTAACCTCGCAATATGTATATAACATGGCTGGCGGTCATGCACATTATCATTCTTTTACACAAAGTGACAAAATTATGGGTCGTCAGTAATCTCGACTCATAACACATATTTTTTATGACTTACATGTTAGTAAGTATCATCAACCAATGAAGTTTGGCTTGAGACAACGATATCACAACATGCATCCATATCACTTGTTCCTTATTCTGGTGTAATGCCAACCATGTACAGCAGCAATATACTAGCGCTCGCCATGGTCAGCAAACAAACGGAAGCAGCAAACATTCATCCACATAGTCCTCTTCAACACACAAAGGAGTTTCCTTTTTCACTGCATAGAATTATATATTTCTTATACTTAAATATTTGAATATATATTCACATGTGCCTTATTGTTATTGCAGATAAACACAAGCCCATGAATCCAAGTTCATGGGGGTTTCTCAGGATAAACTATAGGGGTAGTGACTTGGTAGGCATGGATGGGTGAAAGCTGCTCGTCTAGCGAAGCGAGGCATTTGCACTAGTGAAGCTTGGCATTGGCGATGTTGCTTGACTTCACCAGAAAGGGTTGGGTGGCAAAGACGTGGAAGTAAACTTGATTCTTGGAACAGTATCATTTGATGCTAACCAGAGCCTGGAAATCTTGTTAAAAACTAACCAGAGATGCTGTTTTGGTCACCATCAGCAACTTGCAACCATATTTAATGCAAAGGTGACTACACAAGTTCCATAGCCTTGGAAACTATTGCAAAAAATTATTGTTTTGCTTGTAGAATCTTCCAAAATCCTATGTAGAGCTTGGAGAACCTATCAAATCCTATGCAGGTGTTGTTTTTGCCGACTGCATTCAAGCACTTCCCCAAAAATAGGATTTTGTATAGCTGGAGGCATTGTAAAAAATATTCAATTTTCAATTCTTTGCCAGAACCAGCGAAGCTTCGCCAAAACCAACAAAGCTTCGCTGGAACCACTAAGCAATTCATGATACCATCGCCAAAGAGCTGCCAGCAGTGCCTAGAGCCACTAAAAGTTTAATAACTCGTCCAAACCCACCTGTACACCTTTGAGCCATCAACTCAAAATTACAACAATGTTACTGCATATATATATTATCTGCCCTTCATTAAAAAAAAAAAAAAAAAGATACACACGCAGAACAGAGGACTTCCAACGGGTTTCCTCACGTACCAAATTTCTATTTCCTTCTAAAATTTTCTTCATCCTTAACCTACCACCCTACGCGCTAAAACCGCCCATAAATCACTATTTTTATTTGATTTCTTGCATCTCTAGCACTGCAAAGTATTTTCTAGCATTGTGGAATATTTCCAGATTTACAAAGTATTATGGCTGGGAAACAACATTTTACAGTTTTAGTTTTCTGGGAGGTTTTTTTTTAGCATTAGACGATCAAGCTGCTAGGTTAGCATCAAGAACAGGATCAAGTGCTTTACTCACAAGCTCCTCGGCAATCACCTTTCCTTCTCCCATCACCACTCTCAAGTTTATCCCTTTTGTCCTTGAAAGAATTTCAAGAGTGGAGTTGATGCACTTTTTATTTCCAATATGAGGATTGTTTGTTATAAAATAAAAATATTTACTAGAGAAGATAGAGATCACATTTATTGTCATTATTATTATGTCACAATGATTTATGTATGAATGTGATTGTCAAGTTGTAATCTTTGAACCACATGTATTTTCCATCTTTGCCGCCTCCCCCTCCTCAACAATGTACAACTTCTTCCCATCACATTTTTGATAGTTCTGTAATCATCTTGAACTCTTGAAATTCCGCCATTGCTGCCCAGCTCTATTGACTTGGTTGGAAGATTTTTTTTTTTTCAAGCTTCGTTGAGGAATTTGCTGCAAGATATCATTGTTGAACAAAACGAGATAGCTCGTAACATGTAGTTTTCCGCACGTGAAACGGGTGCTGCCAAAAGAACTTTTCTTATTTTCTCTGATGTCATCCTAGTCAACCCTCACATTATCATCATTATTGATTTATCAACCTACATTAGCACACCCCCAAACAAACATAAATTAAGATTAAAAATATAATTTTAAGCACTAATTATTATAAAAAAGAGAATTAAATAATATTCTTTGCAATCATATAACATTACACATAACAACTAAGTAGTATAAAATTGCAACCTATAACATGAGTATTTACGCCTCAAAAGGCTTGAACGTGTCAGCTGCATGCCGCGTCGATGAAAAGTATGAACGGACCTACGGACATTTAAACAGAACCAACGTGTAAAACCACAGGGAAGCTAAAAGACAGAAGGATAAGGGCAACTTTCTTAGTAGACTTCCACTAAACCAAAAACCAATAATGCATGAAAGTCTTGTAAAAAAAAAATAATGCATGAAAGTACGCCATGTGCAATCACTTTAAAACAACGTGGCAACATATATGACACAAATTCAAAAGAACCACTCTTTAATTAGTTTTTTTTTTTACTAACTTTTTATTATTTGATAATCATATTAAATTTTAATTAATTTAAAATTAAGATACGATTAGATTACATTAAAAAAAAAATTTTTAACATTTATTTTTTTATTTATAAAATTTAAATTTAAAATTTTATTTTAAAAAATCAAATTTTTTTCACATAAATCAATATATCATTGGTACTCTTTTCCTAAATCTCTCTGTTCAATTTAAAATTTAAATTTGAGATTTCTAACTTATAATGTCAAATTCTTAATTATTAAATCATTCCATTGACTCATTCCATTGACATTAATATATTATAATAAAACTTCATATACAAAATACAATTCTCAACTAAATCTTTAAAATTATATATATCTAATTAGTTTTGAAATTTTAAGTTGAAGATTCCCATTGTGATAGCTAAAGATGAATTCTCAGTAAAATTAAAAAATTTTAATAAGCTAATGATTTGGTATAAAAAACTAACTAAACTAGTTTTTTCAATTTATCCACGATTTGGATTCTAATTTCTATTTGTTAGTTTTAAACTATTAAATAAAAATTTTTATCAAATATTTTATTTATAATAATTTTAAAATATATAAATTTACCAAACTCTTATACTTAGGATTTAAACAAAACCACTTATTAAATCGTGTTGTTTCTCTCTCTTTCCCCTTTTCTCTTCCTTTTCTCTTGCTTCTGCCCCTTCTCCGGTGCTGCGTTGGTTTTGCTCGGAAGCCTTTGAGCTTCTGAGATTTTGATGCTTGAGCAGCCAGGCTCCCCGGCCGCTCAAGCATGATGGAGCCGCCCTGTGCTCCCTCCTCCGATGATCCTTCTGGGTCTGTCGGCTTTTGGGTCCATTTCCGGTGACCCTTTTGGTTTTCCTGTTTTCTTTTTGTTTGTTTTTCTTTGTTTTCTTGTATAGTTTGTTTTCAGATCTGGCGATCCTCGGCTTTTACTGCAGATCTTGGGAGGTGCTCGCTGATTTTCCAGATCTGGCCTCGCCGGACTGGATCTCTGCCGCGACGTCCTGGAGATTTTACGCCATCCTCTCCGGAGTAAATTGAAGGGTGTCCCATGGCTGGATCGGTCGACCTCAGGTTGCTCGAGTGACTTCACCTCCCTTCCTCCCACGCATCGGGCCTACTCTGCTTTGCTTCTTCAGTTTGTTCTTATCTTTATCTGTTACCCTTATCCTTTTAGATATGGTCTGTTTGTAGATGCCGTATGGCAGTTTCCTTAATGCAATGCTAATTACCCTTTGTTCAAAAAAAAAAAAAAAACCAAACCACTTATTAATGCCCAAAATTAACGTACAAACCGGCCCTTCATTACCGTCAAAATCAAAACTTTTTTTTTGTGTGAAGAAAATCAAAACTTTTTAGAAAGTGGCCAGCAAAGATTCAAAGGTTGGAAGCTCGAGAAATAGTATAAATAAAAATGTAAACTTTATATTTTTTTAACTTAAAAATATTAATTTTATTAATTTTTAAATAAAAATATTAATTTTTAAATAAAAATATTAATTTTTAATTTTTTCATTTTAAAATATTAATTTTTAATTATTTTTATTTAAAAATTTTAACTTTTAATATTTTAATTAAAAATTTTATTTATTATATTAACATTATCATCCGACTAATCCCTAAATAAAAAAAATTAAAAGTTAAAATTTTTAAATAAAAAAATTAAAAATTAATTTTTTTATTTACTTTTTTTTTTCTAGAAATCCCCTGTAAAGATGAGATTTTCTTCTTTTTTTTTTCGGTTTCTCACGCCTAATATCTGAGGCTTCGCCTCAACTAATTCCGATCAACTCGCATCACGCATTTGAAAATAATGGGTGAACCTCCTAAAATAACCTACTGCATATACAAAATCTCAAACTCGAGATCTTACTTATATTAAAACAAGTCGGTTAGCACTTTATCAAAACCTCGTTGGTGTAAAGATGAGATTTTCACTTTTTAGATTGTTTTACTTTGTTGCTTTGATTTGAAAAGAAAGTACCAAAATCAGATATGCTCCTCCGTCTCTATCAGTTTTTTCTTTCAGCTTTCTTTTTTGGTGCCCGCCCAGCCTAAACAACTTTCCAAATTCTCTCCCCCCGATGGCTAAACAAAAATGTTAAACTTAATAAGTAATTTATTAATTATGTAATTTATTTTAATTTAATTTAAAAATAATTTTTTTTAAAATAATTTATAAATTATTAATTTTATTTTAAAATAATCTACTTGATAAATATTTTGTTAATTAGATTAAGAAAAATCTTTCCAGTTGTTGATGTATACTCCTAAATTTTTAAAAAATATTAAATATAATACATATATTTTTATTTTTATAACAT